GGGAGACGTGATGGCACGGTAGGCACCGCAAGGCCCCAACCTCGCTGTTTAACCGAAGCGAGGCCGAAAGTTCCCCAACTAGCCGGGTGCGAGTGTCACAGCTCACTGCGGATCCCCAAAGGGCATCTGAACCACCCCTGGGCAAAGGTGGCCTCTTGCGCTTCGCCAAGTGCACCTGGGTGAGCCCATTCGCCCAAGGGGTATCTGCCATTTTTTCCCAGTTGTAATAGTCAGACACCTATGTGGTTTTCAGTCGGATGACCGTTCGCTGTATTATCTGGCAGCAAAACAAGCAGGGGTGGGGTAGAGCGGGTTGAAGCAGCCTGAAGAGAAGACTGTGCTGTGGATCTAACTACCCGCAGACAATCGAAACACATATAGTCATGCACCTTTTTGAACAAAGATATGGATGTAAGTTACGATATTAAAAATCAGACCCCTGGCCACAATCTCAGCAGATAGAAATGTCTAATTAGCATGTGAGTATACTCTACGTGGAGAGAACTATATGGTATATATTGATTTTTTAAGCCATAGAAATAAATGCTTCATTTACTTTCTTGAAGTCATCTTTTATTATGAATTATAAAGCATGACTCTTTAAACAAAGAAAGATTCTAAATACAGTTTAAGGCATATTTATCGAGTGCCGTTTGTATACCAGGCACTATGCTATACGGACTTCTGCTCATAAGGAGCACACAATACTGAAGAGAAGACAGGCACATGGAGAGAAGAGTATCATGGGAGACACGGACGTAGATGCCTTTATGAATAAAAAGGTCAGGGCAGAGATCACAGTCAGGAATCAGATGGATAAAGACTTCATATGGCACGCCAAGAAGTTTGCATAAAAAGCCTTTGAACAAGAAAGTAAAAACTTCATATTTTATAAGCATGTTTGACATGAAGGGAGGGTAGAGGTTGTTTAAAACAGACAAGAGCTAGTACCTAGGAACCTCAGTCTAGAGATAGATAAATATTCCATGGGATCCTGAACCATGGTCATAATAGCAGAGCTACAGGTACGGTTGTGAGCTTTCACCTTAGAGATGTTGTGAGGATTAAATGTTAAAACTCGTAAATAATTGAAGAGTCTGATCTGTACTAAATCTTCAACAAATGTCAACCAAAGCTCCAGGTTTCCTGTTTTGAACAACTGAGTAAAGAGAGAAAACACTGACAGAAATAATCCGTTTATTTTATGTGCATATGTGAGAGCATTAATACGTTTTTCTTGAGTCTCTTTTGGAAATGTCAGTGAATATCTTTAAGAGGCAGCTAGAAATATTCACATGGGTCAGAAAAGCCAACTAGGTAGAATAAGTTGATTTTGTAGTTAACACTGTTTAAAAAATAGTTGAATCCATGGAAGTTGATAACATAATCCAGGCAAATATAGGAAAAGAAAAAAAAAAGGCCCAATTTGGAAATATAAGGGACATCAATTTTAATGAATTGCTGTAATAACAAATGCTATTGAGGGATAAGATAGTGGTGTAGGCGAAATTCTAAGCCAACCCCCAAGATTCTCACTCCCTGGTGTACATACATACCTTCCTCCAGTTATCCCATCAAATATTCATCAGATACTGCTGTGAAATGATTTATATAAAACCCTCCTAAGCTTTAAAGAAGTATTAATAGAGTTCATTTCTTAGAACAGTTTTACATTTACAGAAAAATTGAACAGAAAGTAAAGAGTTCCCACGTATTCCCTCTCCTCTAGCCCATAGTTTATCCTATTATTGACATTTTGCATTGGTGTGGCATGTTTGTTATTACTGAGGAACCAATACTGGTATATTGGTGTTAACTAAGGTCCATAATTTACATTAGAATTCACTCTTTGTATTATACGGCTCTATACATTTTGCCAAATAATGTAATATATCTATCATTAAGGTAGACAGAAGAGTTCATATAGAGTACATAGCTTTTTCAGACAGCCTTCTTCACATAGCAATATGCGTTTGAGTTTCCTCCATTTTTCTGCAACTTGGTAGCTCATTAATTTTCGTTGCTGAATAATATTGCATTGTATTAATATATTACAGTTTGTTTACCAATTCACCGATTGAAAGAAATCTGTTGCTTCCATTGTTGAATAAAGTTGCTGCAAATATTCAGGTTTTTGTGTGAATGTGAATTTTCAACTCATTTTGCTTAAATACCTTGGAGCATAATTTCTGAATTTTATGATAAGGCCATGATGAGCTCTGTCAGAAACTGTGAAATTATCTTCCAAAATGGCTGTGCCACAGATATTTTAAAAATATGAGACTTGGACATATTTATAGGCCAGAGTTGGAGAGTCATTAAAGAGGGGAATGTTTAGGGTAATTGGGAGAGAGGATAGTTAATAAACAAGGCTCCGAAAAAGACTATATGTAATGTTTAGCTGTGGTGATCATCCTTGGGTGGAGAAAAAATTCCTACAATGGAAGACTTAACAAGATAATGGTAGAGGCTAAGTGATCAAGAAAAGAGGAAAGATGATAATAAAAGAGAATTTGGGCTTGGTAGCTTATGTAAGCTGTGAAGACATCAGTAAGGTCATTTTCTAAGAGTGGTATTTGATGGTAGAGTTGTGCATTTTCCAGAAAAAAATTAATAGCAGAAAATGTATATTTAACACTTGTGATATGTCAGGGTTTGTTTCAAGGGCATCGATCAACTGACTTTTAAAAATCAATATTTAAAGAAGAGAAAACTGAGACATAGAGAGGTTATATAACCTGTTGAGGTTACATGGTAAATAAAGAACAAAACTGTGAAGTCTGGCTTCAAAGTTCTGCCTCATCTTTCTACTACGATACTGAGGATTGTTTAGCTGTTAGTGTTTGGAGGAAGTACTGTGAGTCACATAAATGAAAGCTGCTCAAGGACATGGGAGAGAATTGCCCTGTGGATGGTAGAAGATGAAGAAGAATTGACACCCCTTTCCATTCCCAAATGCCCTTGAGGCAATGAGTCATTTAAGAGTGGAAGACATCTATGATAATAAGCACTACCAAGATTCGTTTTCAAAATAACTTTTTAGCCACTGCACTCCAGCCTGAGGGACAGAGTGAGACTCCAACTCAAAAATAAATAAATAAATAGATAGATAGATAAATAAATAAATAAATAACTTTTTAGTGGAGAACCAATATTACTGTTGCGGCTTACTTCTCACACACCGATTGAAAACCCCCAAACATTTGATCTTTGGGGAAGAAATTTGCCCGCTTTCAATGTTTTATCTATACTTCCTTCTTTGATACATTTCTTTTTCAACTTAGGTGAACACTGGAGGATGAAAGTTAAGAACTGAATTCATCTGGTCAATTACACCACCGCAGTTCATGAACCAGCTGCATTGTAATCACTGCATGTTGTTACCAGCTCACTTTGCAAGACACTGGATTGGATGTGAAGCTTTCCCAAATACGGTGCCCAGTGATGAAGTGGTCTTGAGCCAGAGGAGAAAATTTGTTACTTGACCTTAGGAAATATGCGAAATGAAATTTCAAGATTCAGACAGATGTAGCTAAATGTATGTCAGCCCTGAAGGTTATCTTGTTTTTGTTGTTGTTGTTGAGAGGCACATTTTGACAGTGACCAGATGTCAGTTTGCCAGATGTGTATAAAAATAGATATTATTGGCTCAGCAGGGGAGAACTCTGGCTGGGTTTTGGAAAATATTGCCTCAGTAAGCAAAAATCTAAAATGCTGTGTAAGTACACAAGAGCTAGTCATAATATAAATTTAGCCATAGTAATTTATAAAAATAGTTTTTTTTATAAAAAACCCACCAATACTCTATGTCAACCCATTAGCAGTCAAAGGTGAAGCTTGATTGCTGTGTCATGCATCTATCAGAGTGTAGGGCGATTATATCGATGAAGTAGCTTTGGACTTTATGGGGAGAGGACACATGCACCTTGGGATTACTTCTGCTGTGCAGAAGTGGACATATCCCATGTGTCTTGGACATCTTTATCCCAAACAGCTGATCTGTCCAAAGAGGGCAGTACCAATGGTCTCTTAGTGGCCAGGACAAAGCTCCAAAGTCCATGATCCACACTCATGTAAGCTCCTTACACTGACTGGTAAGACTCTCCATCCATGCTCTGACAGCATTTCATACAACTCTTCCTGTTCCACTTTACTCTAGACACAAATGCCTCTCGAGGACACTGTACCTCTGCTTTTCCTTCCTCCATGTCTTCGTGTGACTTGGCACCAGCCCAAATAGTACTTCTTCATCTAAGACAGTTTATTAACCTGCCTAAAATAGTCCTCCTTACTTTAACCCAGAAATGTTCTATTACATTCTTTTTTTTTTACTTCATACAATTTATCATTCTCTGAATATGTCATAATTATTTGTTTTGAGGTTTGCCTGGGTTCAACCTAGAGAGTAGTAAGATAATATATAAGGTATCTAGAAATAAGTTTAACCAAAAGTACTTAATACCTTTGTGGGAAAATATAATAACTTATTTAAAGGCATAAAGACTT